TCAGCCGATAGCTCACCGTGTGCGGGTACAATTTACTGAGTTTTTTGCCTCATGCAACCTTTTCTCACGTATCAAACATGTTTGATCGCTGAGCTATCGGCTGAGCTAACAGGCACGAGTAACTTTTGGCTCAGCAGATAGCTCTCGTGTGCGGCAGGCTTAAGTGGTGGTTATAGATTCATGTCTCGCTATTTATAATGCTAACCCCAATCCCCACCCTAACCGCTAACCCTATTAGCGAGACATGAATCTATTTGAACAAACATTGAACTAAACTTTCAACTATAAAGAGTTGAATGCTAAGAACTAGATTCCAGTCTTCTCTATGCAAAAATTGCACACAATGGCACAATCTCGTTCCCCGAGCATTCCCTGTTCGCCAGAGGCCGCAGAAGCATTTCGAAAGTGGAGGGGCATTGACCGAAAGGGGCACTTTTGTATATGACCAGAATCAAACGATTTTATGACGTTCACGAGCCGAACGAAAATTTTTGAAAATATGGAGTCTCTCTAACGTCGGAAATGGCCTTTACAGAGTCTTTACTACTGCGAAAAGGGCATTTTCTTTCCAGAAAAAGAGGGCGTTTATTCAAGAAATACTTTTTTCGTTTTTTAAATGGGGCATTTTAGCCCAGAAAAAAGGGCACTTTTTTCATTTTTAAGAAAAGTGGGGGGCACATGCCCCCATTGCCCCCCCGGTTCCGCGGCCCCTGCTGTTCGCAGGTTAAGAGTGGGCATAGCCTGCTCACAGACGTTGTAGTTCTTACGACGAAATACTACCGTCTGCTTACCCGAGCGCCAAACTGAATTCAGCTACGTCGACCAATCAGAATTTACCTTCCAAATTCTGGAAAGTGACGTCATGTTAATTTAGGAGCGGAATAAATATAAATATATATTTTGAAAGCAGTCGTCGGTTAAATTTTGGTCAAAATTGCACATAAATTGAATTTAAAGATACTGATACTTGTCCAGGTAATAAAATGCAATTTATGTGCAATTTTG